AGTCGCGTGCGTCGCCTGCGACTTCCACGTCAATAACACCTCACCCGCCACATAGACAATCCACGTTGCACGGGAGTAGCGTCCATTGTATGCGAGTTTTGACCCCTCCTTTGACCTAACCTATTTTTGTCAATAGTTTCAAAAACCTAAATTACTTTTATATTTATTTATTTAATTTACATTTATTTAGTTATTATTTTTAAATTAACATTATTTTTGTAATTTCTTTTTAAAATGTCATTATTTTAAAACTTAACCCCCCTTAAGAAGGTCTGTTATAGAGTTTTCAACCAATTTTATTTATTTATTTTTATTTGAAAGAATGAACTTTTATTTTCTCATTTCTCGAAGTAAATGAACAAGAGAGTATTGGTYCATCACACATCGGAAGATAGTAGATGGCTAGAGAATATAAACTTATATTATACCACAATTTGATTGGGATAATTTTATAGTTAATTTTTAGCGTTATTCGCTAGTTGTTAAGTAAATTTCTTGCGAATTTGAATGTCTATGAGTAAGTAGAAAGGCACAAGTTTTCGAACATTATAGTTGAGTCATTGATGTTGCAATGTTGAGTAGAAGCTAATGTTGCAAAAGAGTTGTAAACCATACCTACATTTTGTTTGATTATTTTATATGGGAAAGTTATCTCCTCCTTGGGTCATTGATGCGAAAGGAGGACAGCCTTTTTTTTTAAGCTCATAATTGTACCATTTAAAATAAAGTTTGATTTTATTAAAAAACTAAAATCAAATAAAAAAACTAGGTTTGATATGAATGATGATTTAACTTACAGCTCTTCTAGCTATGAATGATACCTATGAAAAGTTAAATGATAAGATCTAATCAGGCTTTTTTAATAATCTCTTGAAAGTTAAAATAATATTAATGCCCAAACTCAAATTCATAACCCCTTTGTAAAGTTAATAAAATAACAATAAAATTAGAGAGTTTTTGAAAATCATGTGGTAAATATTTAGCAAATCTGAAAAAAATTCAACTAGTTAAGACACATATTCTTGACTAAAAARGGTGAGTTTTAATCCTCATCTCCACACGTTATTATACTAAAAAATAAAAATAAAAATATATAGAAAAATGGTAAACATCGATGTATGTCCCCCTAAAATTAACCCCTTGACATCATACCTGTTTAAATTTCTTTTAATTTGGTTTTTTTATATGACTGTAATCCATGCTTTGCATCAGTATTTAAGAGATRTAGTTGTGAAAGTAAATATAACYAAATACTAATTGACATATATCTCAAACTAATAGGYTGTGAGTTCGATTCCCCACTACTAGAACAAATACGTTTTCATTCTTTGGRAAAACTGCTAAGGGGATGATCGGTCGTTTGTGTGTTTCACAATTTTTGGTTGTGTCTGACAAATACAAGAATTAAAATATGGAAGAGTTATTTTTTTTTTAATTTCTTTACTTTTATTTAAGAGAGAGAAGAAGAAGGAGGGGGCATTTAAASAGGGAGAAGGAAGATGGTCGGGTCACCCTATGTCATTTATCAGAGTAGGTTTGGTTTGTGATGATAGAAGGAATGATTTTAGAAAAAAAGATTTAAGAATAATTGATTTTCCAAAATATTTAGAACTAGGAAAATGTTTATTTGTTCTTTTAAATTTTTTTTACGATTTTTTTTTAATCTTTCTAACTTTTACAGAAATTTCCATTGAAATCAACATTTTATCGATATTTTCATGAAATTTAGACCTCGACATTTAAAATCCTGAAGGATACTAATCCTAATATTTGTAATTTAAAATCTTACTTGATTAGGGTCGAGCTAACTGCGTTGTCAGACACAGCCAARTACAAGTGTAATTTATCCCCAGGCATAGGCTTCGCGAGCAACGGTGCCGAACAGAGATAGTTCTTGAGTCCTTCAAAGGCTGCCTCGCACATGGGTGTCCATTCGAAAGGTCCCTTCTTTCTCAACACCTTGAAGAAAGGGATGCACTTATTAGTGGACCTAGAGACAAACTTGTTGAGGGTAACAATCCTTCCATTAAGGCATTTCAGCTGCTTAGAGAGTTTTTCGGGCTTACATCTCGAGCACGACCCTTATTTTCTCTGGGTTGGCTTCTATTCCTCAGTTATTCACCATAAATTCAAGGAACTTTTATGATGAAACTCCAAAGGCGCACTTGGCCTAGTTCAGCTTCATCTGATACTTGCGAAGGACCCCGAAAGTTTCAATCAGGTTGGCCAAGTGCGACCTGGACTCCTTGCTCTTGACAAGCATGTCGTCCTGTATACTTCCATATTGCGTCCGATCTGGTTGGCGAACATTTTGTTCACCATCATTTGATTAGTTTCCCCTGCGTTCTTCAGACCAAAAGGCATGAA